CAGTAAAAGTCCATCACTACAGACCAATGTATGAGAGTAAAAATTCCCACTTTGAAAAATAATCTGAACTATTAGGCTTAAAAATGTGGAAGCCAGTAATTTTGCAAGTTCTCCTGAAGTGCCAGGTGATGCACATAACACAATGCTGGCCAGCAGCACTTCCCCAAGCTGTCCCATCCCCAGCTTTCTCCACCACGTACAGCCACCAACACCACACCATCACTTATGTGAAATGCTAAGAGTCTCCTTACTGACCCTTACCACAACCTCCTGGGGCCTGGAAGTTCTTCTCTTAAAGCTGGAGAATCCAAGCACACAGGAGCTAATTTCCAATCCGAGGTCTCAGCTAGGAGGGGTTATGTACATGTAACCCCTGAGCAGCACTACAAGAAACCCAAATATTTTACAAAAGAACATTAAAGGTTCACTCTTCAAGTCCTATGTGAGCAGTGGCTTTTCTTAAGAGAGGTAATTACTCATGTTTGGTGGAAGTGCAGATCGGGATAACCAGTAGAGCCATAAGAAATAATGGTGTATGAAATGGAAAACAATGGGATTATTTCAAAATATAAGCATAACATTCATGCATAACAGAAAAAGACTATAAAAGGATTTGCATCAAATCCAAAAGCTTTTTTTCCAGCAGAAAACTTGTTTTCTTACATTTTCTTAGTTCCATACTTGAGACAGTTCATAATTTTTTTTTTTCCTATTTTTCTTTGCAGTACTTACAACAGTTTTGAAATGAAATCTTCCTTTACTTGAAAAGCTCAACTATTTCATCACAGAATAACGCTCTTTAAACACAACATTCCAACACAGGAAACAATTCCCTACTTTCATTGAGACAAAACTTTAAGTCCAGTATGAAGCTCTCCTGAAGAAATAAACTCTTTCTACAGAACAGAACATTTAATGACATCCACATTTGGCAAAACATTTTCAGCTCTGTGCCCAACACAGAGACAGTGCAGTTTGGAGAACTGCTAAAAAGGCACATTTAGATTTGGTCAATTTTTTAACTGTAACACACAGAAGCAATGGTTTTAATACTGCTATATAGAGCTCTACCCAGGATAGGGATATTTTCTAGCACAGAATCAAGGATGAACTTCAAGCATATGAGGAGTGTCAGTGACCACTTTAAAAAGAAATGTGTTAGTTCAGTTTCAGGATGCTTTTTTTTTTTTTTTTTTTTTAAGTAAAGGATGATTAAAGGCTAGCATTTCCCCTTAATGTTCTGTAATTGCTTATTTAACTCCCACTGACACTAATGGGAACAGCATGCTTAACCACCATGTGCAAAGATGAATCTATCTGAACACTCAGCAGGTGGGAGCTGCCTTGCCTATGGAGTTTAACTATGAACAGAGAAGGATGTGAGAGCTATTGTTCTGCTGCCATTGTTTTACAGTCTGTCTAGCTGTGAATCTTGAACACTGTTGCTTCTAGAATATTTCTGAAAGAGTTTTAAGTACCCTGTCCCCTGTAAGAATAGGGAAACGCACAAAAAAGAGACTTTCTTTGAAGCCCAATGTACAAGTTTGTGACAGAGCCAAGAACAGAACATGGGCTTCTGCCTCCTACTCATGTATTGCAGTTTTCCCTTTTGCACACAGCTAAAATCAGCCCTTTTGTGCTGCCCAGAGAATTGTACAATAGGGGCTGACCCAAGCATACTGAAGTCAGTGAAGGAGCTCAGTGACTGCTGGAGGATCACTTCCCATACACCTCTTTCAGGAATGGTTGATTCATAGCACTGAAGACTGCCTATATACAGAGAGCACTGAAAGACCAGAGGGGGGAACATAACTGAGTACTGCTGAGCGTTTGACTTATCATGAAAATTTCTTCCAACTGTTCTCTCTAGCTTTGTTGTTGTTACCATTTTTTTTTTTTTTTTAATTTCATTTGTCACTTACCATGTGTTGAATCATGGTAATGATTCAGCCTCATTAAATGTGTTGGATTTTCTTACATGAACGTACTCTTAATTTCACCTGTTCTTATTAAGAAGCCTCCCTGTAGGCCAAGGTGAAGGGAATGTAGTCTCCACAAGGGATGCAGAAGCCAGATGGACACCAGCTCCGTTCTGGAGGATGCCGTTCATTGGGGGAAAAGGGGATCCTGGGACCTCAGCAACAGTTTGGATAGAAATACCACAGCACTTTGAGCATGCTAAGGACGTAAGATCATGTGTCTGGTCACTGTCAGTACAAAGAAGAGAGAACCGGTTAAGAATAGAGAAAAAACACAATCCCTCTCTCATTTTTGCAATGCCCACCAATGTACTGAGAGATGTTTTTGATGTCTGTCCAGCTCTCACTAAATACAAATAACTACATAAACAAACATTAAGTCATCTGCAACATGCTTACAGCCAAGAGACAAAACTGTGCTGATACCCTTGGACAACATGAATGAAAGTTCTTAAGTGAAATATCCATACATCAACAGTCAGGATGAGAAAGACATGAAAGCCAAATATGCTGCATCACTTGATTGGTAGTACCATGCACACGGAATAGTGTGAGAAGCTGTTGAGTGTATCTAGGAGGAGCAAAATGGAATAAAACTATTCCTAGTGCCTATAATATATTCAGTTATGATGTTCCTCAGCGCTAACAACTTTGGTTTCACTTTGAGGCAGTTGCCTATGGGATAACTACTTCTGGGATCTTGTGGCCAGTCTAATTTTTCAAGAGCATTAGCTAGTAATGACATCACCTGAATGCAGAATACAGCAGAACCCTGGCCTGCACACTACGACCTCCTCAGTGCTGCACTGTAGTACACGTAAACAAAACAGATCTTCATCAAGCAGCAGATCACATTTGAAGCAGATGGAAACCAGTTTATTACGTGTGAAGAGATGACAACACTGCTCATAAGGACTGAGTGGGTAGCAGTACTCCTCCTTTGCACAAGAAAGGAAGTACTGTCTCAATTTTAAGCTCTAACCATGCCTTTATGTGTCTTAAAGGCAGGTGGGGCTACTCAGAGCCAGCTGTTAGCACTGATACCTACACCAAACCTTGCTATGCCACAGCACTCATTATGCACAGGACTGAACTGGACTGAATGTTTCTTTACTGAACAGAAGAAAATGCATAATCAGCAGATGTTAACACCATGCACTCTGAACGAGATGTCTTTACACTGGCACAGATCAAATAGGTTTGCTTTCTCTACACGCGCAGGAACAAGAGGAATTATTATTTTTAAATAACTATTGCATCTCATGCAGGAAGACACCTAGAGAAGATTAAAAGAACAAAGTGAACCACCATGCAGGCAAAAACCTGACTGGCAGAGTGTATAAACTTAATAGGAAATGATCATTACGGACTTTTGTTTCCCCTGTTCATTTAGCTGTGCTCAGTCCCATTTGACAGCAGGATTTATCATTTGATAGAGCAACCTGTATAGTCTCTCAAGTCTAAAAATCATTCCACTGTTCCTGGCCAAGGAGGCTTTTTTTTCTTTTTAAACTATGAAATACCAACAAGTAGCTAGAGAACAGTTGATAGATCCTTAAACAAGGCTATTAGAAATTACATATCTTTTCAGAAACATGCAAATTAGTTAACAACTTCCTTTAAGTAAGCGATGGTTCCAGCTACAGTATGCTTGCATCTGTTTCACTGAGAAGTGCTCTTCAGACCACTGGAAATTAAAGCCTAAAGCTTCATGCCAGTCAGCACATATACACCAGGAAAGAATTATCCTGTACGTGAAGTCCTGGGACTAGAACTAAATATCTCCATAAGGAACAAGCAAAGGAAGAACTACTAAATGTACAAGATGTTATTTGGTAAAAGACACAACGATGTAATTCCAAATTGAGATTCTGGGAAATATGCAGTTCAAGTATGCTTACTATCCCAGTTGTACTTCGAAGAAGGGATTAACTAAAGAGGAGATTGTCTTTGAAGCAAGAGGATATGCAGCCAGCTGGAGTCTACCCCCTCACAATGCAGCTTTCCCAAATCCATTCGGATGATGAATTTGGCCTGTTCTGAAAGAGTCATCTGCCTGGGATGGGGGGAAAAAACATTCTGTTTTTCTGTCATTTCTGTAGATGTGCTCACCCACATACACTAGTCATGAGAAATTGCATGAATCAGACAGCTCCCTTTTTCATTAAGGACTGAGAGAAATCTTCTGGAAATTAAAACGATTATCAGTGAAGGAATCATGGAACAAAAGTTTTAAGTTTCAGAACACATCAATATTGATTGCCTTGGGAAATGTAACATTTTTCATTATTATCTTGGGCTATTGTCATTCCTCTTTAACAATTCTAGTTATTTGATTCTCAGCAAGAGACTATTTAAGATCAAGAACAAAATTTACTTTCAGAAGTCTACAGCTCAGCCTTACATAAGAATGTTTTACACAGAGCTCTTCATGCTCTTTCACTTCACCGTCAGGCCTGGTTATCAGTGCCCTCCCTCCAGCACAGCCTGCTCTGACAATGGGAGCAACGAGCTGCAGTTCTCTTCTCTCGCCCGTGTGTGTTTCGAGCTTGTCCTCAGAGTATTCCTAAACATATCCACACCACTACAACGTACATCTTGAAGGGAAGCTCTTCTCCCAAGAGCTGATGTTCTTAAAGGAAAACCAACACACGTCAGTAGAAAACACCTGAAAATATCCATTCAAGAGTGATTATTCAATAAAGAACAAATTAACTTTCCCATGTTCTCCTGGTGATTGAGATACTTCTCTTCATTGTGTGTCTTGGCTGCCTCTATGTTTTTCATACCAGCACACAACCAGACAGCAGCACTTACCCACACGCTCGCTGCCGCCCCAACTCACGTGAATGGCAAACTGAGAACTCAGCTCAAAACAAAGTGAAAAAGCAGCCCCAAATAAGGGAGCAGTCAGTGCGGTAACAAGCTACAGTTTCTTGTTGCTTCACTGTGGTAGCTTCCCTTACTTGCTTTAGGGAGAGGATGCTACAGGCACACTTCGTGAGAACACTTTGCTGCCAGGCATCGCACAGGCAGCGATGTGCGGGGCCTCGCAGGCACCCCCAGCACCCCAGGCAGCGGCCGGGGGCTCGAGGGCGGCACCTCAGGCACCCGACGGACAGCCGTTACAGAGCTGCGCTGCTCGCCCTACCTGACGTCGCACACACCGTCCTCTCTTCACAAAGCTGTTGTGATCGCTCCTAACACTTATTTCAAACGGCAGATTTACACAGATCTTTCGCCGCTCTTACGAAAGAGCTTACCAGCGGCTGATTTCAGCGAAGGTTACGGCGGGGACCCCGGGGAGGACCCGCAGGCGCGTGGCAGGGCGCGAACGGTCCGCAGACGGCCAGCGCCGTCCCTTCGGGGCGAGCCTCCCGCCCGGCCCCTCCCTCCGCCCGCCGGGGCGGGGCCGGGAGCAGCGCGGGGCGCGCGGCAGACGCGGGCCAGCATCGCGGGGCGAGCCATGGGGCCGGGCTCGGCGCGGCTCAACCGGTCCGGCGTTTCGCGGGAGGCCGGCGGCGCCTGCGCGGCGGACGGGCAGCGCGCGGGGCCCTTCTCCGGCGCCGCCGCGGCTCTGCTGGCGGCACTCATGGGTCTGCTGGTGCTGGTCACGGTGCTGGGCAACGCACTGGTCATCCTGGCGTTCGTGGTGGACCGGCGCCTCCGCACCCAGGGAGACTTCTTCTTCCTCAACTTGGCCGTCGCCGACCTCCTGGTGGGTGAGTGCCGGGGCGGCGAAGGGCCGGGGGAGCGCGGTGCGCCGCGAGAGTCACCACCGGCTGTGTCCACAGGCGGCTTCTGCATCCCGCTCTACATCCCCTACGTGCTGACGGGCGAGTGGAGGCTCGGCCGGGGCTTGTGCAAGCTGTGGCTGGTGGTGGACTACCTGGTGTGCACCGCCTCCGTCTTCAACATCGTCCTTATCAGCTTCGACAGGTTCATCTCTGTCACCAAGGCGGTAAGGGCTGCGCTCCAGGGCACGAACGGCAAAAGCCGCGGTTAGCAGAGCAGCCCAGAACAGAGCAGCTGCAGGAAGGGCTTGCTTGGGTGATCCTCGTGCTCCTCAGACAACACAGGAGATGGGAGCAGCCTCGATCCACCCACACTGTTCTGGAAGTAGGTTTAGGAACAATTGGCTTTGGGAGAAAGGAGAGTTGTTTCTCACTTCTCTGCTGCTTTAGAAACTGGCACAGGCTGTACGTGCTGCTGTTGAAGCTAGAAGAGCAGAGCCTCTCACTTCTTCTGCAGTCACACCTTAGAAGAGCTTAGAAAATCATTACCCAATGCAACAGAGCATTCCCTCGAACACAGCAACACACCTACTGCCAGCCTCCAGTAAGGGCAGAGCTCTGCACCAGGTACTAAGCCCTTCCATGGTGCCCAAACAACACGTTATCTCTGGCATTAGGTCTCATTCTTCTACAAGCAGTTCGTGGCTATTCTTCAGCACCATTTCACTCGTATTTCATTAAAACATTGAATTAGCTTCATTGTTCAATGTAAATCACACTGAAGCAACAATAACTTTTCAGTAAATAGTTAGAAGAAACAACAGCACTTAACACGGTTCATAGGTAGCTTAGTATTTCACCAACTATTTTTTCCAACAGGGAGAAATAAACAGATTAATTCTCAAATAGTCAACACAACATTCCTTTATTTTCTAAGTTCTGTATTAGCCATGAATTTTACTTTTAGAAACCACACTCATGACTATACACATAATATAAATATAGACTGGATGGTTTCAGAACCAAGCTGTTTATAATAAATGATAGAGTTCAGCCTCTTTGAAACATTTCAAATAAATCGTCCATATAAAAATCCCTCCCAAAGAGTACAGAATCTGCCTACTGGTGTAGAGCAACATGAGAATACGCGAATGAGTTCTAAATTATTCTCTCAGTGAAAGCTTCAAACTTCCTACAGAAGTTGCTAATGATTTCAGGAGCAGTCTTGAAAAGGACTGCAAAAATGAGACCCAATTCAGACAAACACAGAATTCCTCAGCTGTACTGCCATACTAACCAAAACAGCATAAGCGCTGGAGACCAAAATTCACAGACTGGGACAACGGGCATGAATTCAAGATTTCAAGGGTGAGGACTTTGTATTCCAAAATATTGTGTCATAGGCCCCTGGGATTAACCACTGTAGAGACGGGAAGGTGGAATTCCAATTCATTATATGAATATTGTCTGGTACACCAGCAAATTAGAATATGAAAACTTAGATGATCTTGAGGTTCTACTCTATAGTGCTGATGTAGTTTACTGACTTAACGCCATACAACCCTTGTGGCACCTTAGATTCCCTGTTTTCTAAATAAGAAAAAATACTCACCCTGTGAAGCATTCTGCAGACCACAATACTCTTATCAATCCCACTTGCAGGTAACAGTTCTGTAAGTAATTTGTGACAAAATGAAAATGAGGGTATAAAACAGAAATTCTTCACCATTTCTTCTTGTGGGCAATTTTCGCTTAAGAAAAAAAAGCTATCTATACAAAGCATTGAGGGTCTGCATTCACAGAATACCTGTGCAAGCTCTATTCATTTATTACAGTTTCTAGATCGTTTAATATAGAATACATCAATGAATTTCAAAGAGCTGTCTTTGATAGCTTTGATAAACTGTAAACTTGTGTCATAGCTTATGCAACAGAATACATAAGCAACTAGTAACTGCTAATTCTAGAAACTGCAATGAGAATTTACTTCAGAAAAGCCTGTTTTCTAGTTTGTAAGGTCTGATGCACATTCTCAGAACCTACCCATCACCATGATAGTATTTCTGAAACACCCACTCTAACAAACATCTTTTCTGTGGTTTTGTGAGCCTGTAACCCCTACCCCCAAACCAATATATGTTATCATCAACCTTCAAAAGATAAGAGGTCCACATTCCAAGGTGCCCATGGAACCACTTGAGATGCCATTAATATACATGACTTCTTCCTTTCTCAGGTGAGTTACAGAGCACAGAAAGGGAAGACCAGAAATGCAATACTGAAGATGATCACTGTATGGATTGCTGCTTTTCTTCTCTATGGTCCAGCCATTCTCAGCTGGGAGTACGTAGCCCAGAAGAGCATCCTTCCAGAAGGAGAATGTCATGCAGAGTTCTTCTACAACTGGTATTTCCTAATGATTGCTTCTACCATTGAATTCTTTACACCTTTCATCACTGTTACATACTTCAACTTAAGCATTTACCTCAATATTAGGAAACGCATATCCCTTAGAAATGAAAACTTATCTCCTGGCCAAGAGGACTGTGAGATGAGTTTCCGAGGGAAAAAAAGGGAACACACCATATTTTTTGTAAAACCTGCTAACAGACAGAAACACAAGAAGAAGAAAGCAAGCAGCCTTTCTCCCCTGCAGAAGGCTTCAAGGCTCAGCCTATGTAAATTTGACAGTCAGTCATTAAATGTGAATGCCAATCAAGACCTTACACCACTTCAGGTGGACGTAGAGACCAAGTCTCATAGGAACAGTTTCTGTAAAAGTACAGAAGACACAGGCGGCACCACCACGAGAGCAGACGCTGCTGTGACAAACAGATTTAGACTTACTCGAGATAAAAGAGTAGCAAAGTCTTTAGCAATTATTGTAAGTGTGTTTGGTTTGTGTTGGGCACCTTATACACTTTTAATGATCATCAGAGCAGCTTGCCATGGGCACTGTGTGTTACATTCACTTTATGAGACTTCGTTTTGGCTTCTGTGGGTGAATTCAGCCATTAATCCCATTCTGTACCCACTATGCCACATGAGCTTCAGGAAAGCCTTTATCAAACTCCTGTGCCCAGGAAAAGTTAAAATTCATCCTCATATTTTTATGTAAAAAAAAAAAAAAAAAAAACCTGTGAAATTTGTCAGTAAGCACATCTTGCTTTCAGTGGGAACACAAACTGGCCAATACTCATATGTAAATAGTAAATGCACTGTGCACTGAATATTTAAGGGAACACTGATGAGTAAATATTCAGGAACTTATAGAATACAGTCATCTGCATAGCTGAAGAAACAGCAATCAATGAAAACAAAGGTAATTTCTCAAAGCTCTTCAAGGATTTGCCTACAGTGTACTTTCTGGTGATGATGTACTAGCACTGAAGAGACAAAAAGGGAATACAAATTTCATATCCAACAACTGGGGAGTGTCTCATTATTAATGTTTAAGTAAAACTTAGTTAGTTTGGATTTGTTATATTTTGCCCCCAGCCACTCTGTAAGGACTTCAGGGTCTTAGCTGCTAGGTATATGCATTTTGGGGAGGAAATCCCCAGTCCCTAACCAACTAATGGTACCAAGGAAAAGCTTGGAACAAGAGGTACCAGAACAGTCAGGTTACCAGAAAAGCTGAACAACTATACCAATAAAGGAACGCTGACTTGGGTGGAAAAGGTGATTCGTTTCCACCTTCATTAGCATCTTCTACAGTTTTACAGACATTTAATTCTGAGAACAATTCATAGCTATTGAACATCCACAGTCACTCAGTGCCACAGCCAAAAAGCATCTTAGCACAGCTGATCTGAAAGTTCACTAATGATGAAGTTCATTTTGTAAAATTTCAATAAAGGTAATTACCAACTGTGAAAGAGTTACGACTGTCATCTTAACCAAGAGCATACGGAAGTAAGCTTATGAGAATAACTGCAGCTGAAGCCACGAAACTATTATTAAGAAGTAATTCCTGAGTTACAAGTACATGTTACCTTAAGAATTAAACATAGTTTCACAAATATTCTAAGAGGGCATATTCCAACCATATGAATGCATCTACATGAACATAATAATCACATTTTACTATGAATGCTTCATAACAAAGAGTCTGCTTTCACTTTTTTCTTAAAAAAGGGACAGCATCAGCAGATACTGAGTAATGGTATTCAAAAGTTTTTTACTTACACCACAAAGCAAATGAGGCCATGAGGTTCCCTCCATTCCTCCTCCACTTCCAAACCAGCAGAGCAACAACCTAATTCTTACCTTCTCTGTAATTCTTAGGTTTCCTAGGATTATATTTGTCATTTTCAAAAACAAGCAGTGACACTAAATTATTGAACAACCCAGCAAAGTTTGACTACCTCATCCAATATAGCCTATGCCATTTTAATAGCAGTGACCGACTCAAGGAGTGAGGAAGTTCAGTCGGTAGCTTTAGAACACTGCAGTCAGTTCAGGTAAAGAAACAAGATTTCAACAAAGTTTTTAGGAAATGGTATTAAATCTACAACTAGATCAGTCTTCACATATCATTGGGAATTGCTCTACCACTCACATTTCTACAGCTTCATGATTTAATTGCCACATATCTCTTTAGCACAGACCCAGAATCTGGCAGGCTTCTCCACCATTCAAGTCAGAAAAGCACTCTGAAGTGTGAACAGGCACCTTTCAGCAGAAATTGATTTTGGATGACAGTTTTCTGCAGCAGGACAGCTAGCACCCTCCTTAGTTGGTTCAGGTTAACCATGCCTTTGTTTTTTGTCCCTTCAAAGCAGAAGTCCCTTTGCTTTTATCAGAAGGTAGTACTAGGTTCAACAGTGGGCTCTGAACAGACAAAACAACAGGTGTTAATAGCAATTTTATTGTTTCACTGGTGCAAAAATCATGATACGGAATAAACTGGTGTAATGCATTTTCCCCTAAATTTACAGTAATGAAGGTTATACATATCTATATAGATTGCAATTTCTCTATTTTTATACTATTTGGAACAAAATTATCTTGATAAATACTCCCTGTGCACGGTACTGGCTCTCGCTGAATGTCACAGAGCCTTAATATGCAAAATATAGCTTCTGTTTTTGAACATGGTATTTTAAAACTCTCCAAACATGCATTAATATATTCTAGTTTTTAGGGAAAAACATTACACTTAGTCTTAACTTGCATTAAAAGAAAAGCACAAGCAGAACCTGACATACAATAATCCCAAAGGTCTGATGCTCTGCAAGGATCACAGTTTCAGATGACAGTCACTGCCAGTTTAGAACTCTAGTGCCACAGAAGCAACAGCAAACAGACAAGAAGTCAAAAACAGAAGAGCCCTACCATGTCACATAGATTCCAAAGAAAGATTCAGCCATGCTAACTGAAGAAACCTGTAGTTGCTGGTCCAACCTTTCAAATTCGTTAGAGTACTTAACACAAGTGTTTGAAGTGCCAGACTGAGCACATGAATGTTAACTTGACATTTCTGAAAGGCACAATCTATGAAACTATCTTTAAAAAAAAAAACAAAACAAACCATATGGTATGTAAATGAAAAGAAATAAGTACAGTGCGTATCTCCTTTAAAGAACAAGACCTTCATAAATTGGCCCCTCAGATTCTGGTGATTCCCTCCTCAGACGCAAGTGCTCCAGTGTGTTGTGAAAGTGTTTGTTAATTTGTTCTGTTTCTTCAGTAGATTCGAGGTTTGGAAGATCTTCTCTTATCTTCTGTATGAGTTGATTCAAAACTTGAATTGTCACCTGCAGGAGAAGATATGAGCAACAAAATAATTGACAAGACCTCTGTGTAACACATAAATATTAGTTTTAACAGACTACAGACAGACTTCCCTTGGTATTTGGACAGTTCTTACAGTTATTATTGATAACATGCAGACAAACTGCTGGATTCTGCACCTTCTCTTGCTCCTCCTAGCAGGCACAATACTTCAGGTTTCAGAATTTTGTGAAAGCTTCCCCCAACTCCAGCAAATATGAACAACCTCTCAAGTGAAGAAACCTATAGATTTGTAACTTAACACAGCATTTCTCTTCACTTTATTCATTACAAATGTTAATAACTTTACACAAATAAAGCACACAACCAGACTGTCTAGACAACCTGTCTCCTGTAGAAGTCAGGATGGTAGCATCAGATTAAGTTATTCCTAGCAACCAAGTCACATCTTGGGAAAGTACAGCTGTCTATGGCAACAAATCCAGCATTACACAGAACACCAAAGCACAAAATGCACTGCAGACTGCCACTATCACATTCTTACAGATGTGCTCAGTGCCTTGAAATACAGTGTTTTGCTTCAATCCACAGATCCAACAGCTCCAACACTACTGTAGTAGCTGGAAATTGGTTCTGCTGCTGGAAGTTATCATATCCCTAAAATCTCCTTGGATGTTCTCTCAGAATTACATGATAAGTTATTAACATCAGTTCTTCACTAAGTGGTGACATAGGAACTTCAGAAGTTTACCAGCTACATGCTAACTAAACAATGAGTATGCTGCAACTGTTATCTCAGATGTCAGGTGAAACTTAGGCTGGCATGCAAGACATCACACTAGTGAGATTAAAGTCTACACCAACCTTTGGCAGCACTCTAAGCAGTGACCTTGAATAGCTCTAAGAATTTTATTTCCCTTAGTGCACATTAAGTTAAATACCTCTGAAGTTAAATGAAAATACAGCAAGATCTTAAATCATAGTCAGTTTTGACCTAATAAAAGTAGATGTATCCAAGTCTCGCAATTTAAATTCAGAACTAGATTACAAGTGATTTTCTTTCCTATGAAAGAAGTTATCTCTACAACATGGAGAGCATTGTATTTTATTAGCATACCAAAAACTGACCACTTAGTATTACTGTTTAGCACACTAAGCAGACATGATCCAGGGTATAAATGAGTACAGGTATTAGAAAACAGATTTAATGAATAATGCATTTTTACTCACTGCCTCATTTTCCTTTTCGTAAAAATAGATGTATCTATTGAGAATTTCTATGAAAAGTTGGACTTGCAGAGAAGGGTCCATGCACTGATTTGCTATTTTTAAAGCCTTCTTCAGGCACTCCATCACTCTCTTTCCTCCATGAAGCTACAAGGAAAAATAAAGTTACAAGAAATAGAATAAAATAATATAAGAAATAGAATAGGGAGAACCAACATCTCTTCCCTCAACACATAGATAGCATTTCACAGGGGTACATTACAAAAACAACTGTAGAGAATGACACAAACTGCAGAACAATCTCCCATTAAAACTGTACCTTTCTCGATTTTAACAGTTTGGATAAGCTTTCCGTAAATCATGCAATAACAAGCACTTGCTGAAAGCCTTCAAGTATCTAACTAAATCTGTACACTACCTACACTACAATACGTACACTAACATGTAGCTTGTGAAACAAATTTCAAACAAATGTTCTTAAGTGCTGTTGCTCATGTGGGAAAAGCACCTCTTCTTACGTTTGAATTCAACAATTTGTACCTTCAGAGTTCATTGATTCATATGCAAACAACTACAGAGATGTGCAAAATGCAGGAGATTACTCTGAGCCAGCCTTAAACTAGCTGACAATCACAAAATTTTGCATGGTACTTCCACTTTTAAGCTTGAGGTTTTTTTTAATCCTCTATTTATGCACACTGTAAGATTTAGAAGCTTCATATATTGGAACACAGTCCAGCCAAGCCTGATCACACTGTGTTCACTTTAGAAGCTAGTGCATTCTGAAGGAAGACACAGCTACATCACTGAGGTAGGATATGCTGCACTGTGTCCCTTAATTCTTACCTCCTCTCCATTCTTGTCAGTGTTTCGGCCAGACCAGAACAGATGAGCACAAGTACTCACAGCCCGGCACTGGTCTGGTTTCTTAAGGAGCTTAGAGGCTGCCAACGCACACTGAGTCCTCAGTGGCTCATGGTTCTCCTCACTGAAGCACTTCATCCTCTCAAACGTCCCAATTATCAATGTGATTGCAGCCAGCTGTGCCTTTGAATCACTGATTTCATCTTCATACAGAGAGAAAGCCTAGTCAGAGAAGAAGGCAAATCTTAATTATTGCTTCAGAACAATATAAAAAGAATTACACTTGCAATAACAAAAACACAATTGGACACTTCATAAAGACTGTCACCATCTAGTCAAAACCACAGACTAGAAGCGTGTCCTGCAACAAAGTCATTGAAATAGTCATAGAAAACATGTATGGTTCTCTAAAAACAGAGATAGAGTTTCTCCTTATTTCAGGCATCTGTTCAAATAAGAAACTTCAGTAACAGAAATATTCATTAACAAAGATTCTTTGAAATGCAAAACAGCACAGCAAAAGCTTAAGTGGTAGGTTACTGACCAGTCAAGTTTCCTGACTGTGAGTCAGGAAAATGTTTACACTGCTGCTGTGTGGACAAAGAGCCTTCAGAAAAAGAATGTACCACTAAAGAAATCTCAAACTATTTCTAAGGTAAGGCACATAAGGACCATCAGGACTGAGCTGTGTCAGAATAGCAACTGATCCACAGTGAGTAAAGACGGGGGGGGGGGGGGGGGGGGTAGGAGGGGGGGGTATCAGTGACTCAGTTTAAGAACATGCATTAGTCACAGTATGAGAGGAAAGATTAGAACAAGGCCTTTAGTAAGTCTTCATAGTCTTCATCTAATGTGGGCAAGTGGGAGAAAAGCTTAAGTCACAGGTGAAGCAGACTTGGAAATAATTTAATGACTTTCAACAAAAAGATGGTTATCAATAAGGACCAGCGTGTCAGCTGTGAACGCCACAAATTTTACAGGACTTCCAAGAGTACCTAAGATCAGTACAATACGAGCTACAGGAGCTGGAAAATGGTCTTAAAAACAATGA